AGCAGGAATCAGAGCACCCAACAAAGCAGGTCAGCACAGACGGAGAACTTGTTCAAGGACGCGCAGACAGTGTCAAAAGCAGGTGTCCCGCGTTGCCAAGCTGCAGAACCGCCCAGCGGCCGCGCAGCCTCTCCTGATGAGCTCCCAGGGGCTCCGGCCGACGGCACCGCGGCACAACGCCAGCCCAGCCCAGGGTACGCCCTCGCCGTGCACATCACGGCCAAACTCCTGACACAAGGCCAGTGCTGCTCATTATGTTCTTAGAGAGCTCCTAAGGACCTTATAAAAACAAGCGAGGTGAAGCATACGCATGCGACAAAGTGGCCTTTTGCAGATTGCTTTATAAGTGATTTGCGTGTGCAACATCAGCCAGATCTTCTGACTGAACCAAACAAAAGTCTACGGTCCAAGTTTCCTTTATAAGGCGTCGGTTTTTGCAAGCAACTGCTCTATACCGACTGTGTAAACAATAATAAATTGCACATGTAAATGACTTTTCCCACCAACAGCCTGCCCGAGCCTGGCTCGGGAGCCGCTCCCCGGGGATGCGGGAGGTTGGTCGCCCGGGACTGCCAGCAGGGTTAAGAGCAACACTTTTACTAGCTCATGGCAACGGAATCGGTGAGCTCACCCGAGGAGCCTGAGCATCCCGACCCAAAGGTAGGGGGAAGGGAACGGTTATCCTCTTTGTCGCCGTTTGTCTCCAGAAGTAATCGCCACGCATCGGGGGGTGGTGGTGAGGGGGTGCTTAGTTTCTGAGATCCCAAAAAAACTCTCCAAGTGGGACTGAGACACTGCATTCATTTAAAAAACAGCCACTTTGAGCACGCCAAAACTCACACTGCACCTCCAGAGGCGGCTGTGGCTCCTCGAGCCACACGAAGGCAGTGCATGCTCGAAGCCCCCGTGGGAGGTCTGCTCCATCGCTTGGGAAATGGGCAGCAGCCCCCCCACAGGCTTTAAATGCCAGGGGTTCCCCCAGCACCTCCCCGAGGCAGCACGGCCAAGCTGCAGTGACATTCAGGCTCCTGCAGATGCTTCTGCAGCCTCTCTTCCCACCCCCGGCAGGCTGCCACGCACCCTCAGCACCACGAGCATCGCCTCGCGTCAGCGTTCCAGACGGGCATCCTGGGAATCGGCTGCCCAAGCGAAGTGCACATCCACTTCTGCGCTCTTTCCACCAATATCCCCGAAGGGGAAGCAAAAGCAATCAGACTGCTTTCAACTTCTCCTGTTACAGCACACACGTCCATCCGTTTGGAGAACACAGATGCGTTGCAGTGCACCTATTTGCAATACAGCATTTTTGCCACCAAAGCATAGGTAGAGCTGTGTTGTTTCTCAAAAAAAAAAAAAGTAGTACACATACTGCAGCAGAAGCTTCATTAATTACAGTGATTGTTGGAAAAAAGGTAATAAAAAAGCAGAGAGAAACTTCCTGACAATAGCCCTTATGTTCACAGGCTACAGAACATACAGCGTCAATACCTCCTTGGCCCAAAAGCAGGGGAGGGAAGGGCTGCTTCCTTCCCAGGGATGAACCACCAAAAGTACATACTCCGGCAAATCACTTCTCTACAGCTGTCATTTCCAACCACACATTTTGCTCGTATCCGGTCCCGAGCCCTCGCACGTCGCTGCTCTGCACTTGTTACTTCCCCACCGTCGTCCAGAAGTGCCGTTATTAGCAGGGATGTGACACTGTGACATTTGGACAGAGTTTTGGAGACTTTCTTAGCACACACGCTACAGAAACGTTAGGGCACAGTTAATCTTTGCAGCGCTCAGAACGCGGCATGCCTCCCCAAAAGCAGCTTGGAAGCAGAAGACAAAGGAGTGAATCATCATACAAAGTGAGCAAAACTGGGAGGGATTTCTGAGAAAAGTGCAACTCCAAGAGGCTTCCTCTTAGAGAAACGGCACCAAAAGAGTACAATTTTCAACTCTCCGAATACTCTGACAGTTCTCCCCCACTTTCTGCTCTCCTTCCCTCCCTTTACTACCCCTCACTTTAGGAGCTGATTTCAGGTACAATGCCTTATTCTTCCCTTCACTGTGGGCAAAATTCATCAGAGAAGGAGGGCGTGTTTGTCTTCATTAGCAAAGTGCTTCCTATTGCGACAAGCTAAAACATAAGGGTAGGAAGGCACCGCCTGGCTTTCTAGTGGAGCTAAAAAGAGAAAAGCAGCCTTCACGTTAACAGTTCGAACTCAATGCAAATAGCTTTCCATTTAACTTTCAGTTCTCTTTCCTCTTCTGGCAAAAACATCCTTTCTCTCCCCATGTTTCAGTACAGATCAAATTGACAGCGAGCCCGCTGATGTACAGAAGAGACAAGAGTTTGTTGTGTGGGATTCTCACCAGGACAAATCCTCTGCGCGGTGGCTGGAGACGCAGCACACTCCTTCACTGGCACTGCCCGGGACAGAAGCACCCGTGCCGGCAGGTATCTCCACGGCACTGACGCTCACTTTATAAAGAACCTATTTCCGTGCTGACTGCCCCATGCAACATTTCACGCATCACTAGCAACCCTCAAAGAGGGCACCAGACTAGCGAACCAAAAATCTAATGAAAGGGACGAGTGCAACCAAGCGGGAATTAGAACGTGCAAGAGACAGTCCTGCCCCTAAATCCTCCTCCTGCAAAGGCTGCTAGGAGGGGACGGGCCTTCTCCTTCCGAGAAGCACGAACCTTGAAAGATATGTCCTTAATGCAGTAACACATTGGCCACCTCAAGTCCCACCTAGCACCCAACGCTCCTTCTGCTGACGCAGTCAGCCCTCATCTCACCCAGGGAAGAAAAACATACTCAGCCTGGCCTAATTAGCACAAGGCGAAATTCTAGCAAGGACAAGGCAGTTTGCAGCTATCGCAGCAGTCCAGAGAAATGCGAGGTTCCAGCATGCTGCGACGGCAGTATCAGATATGCTCCTGCAACCACGTGGGTATTAAGATGCCACCCTCCAGTCAAGACGGTTACCATCCACGAGAATTCATCCACACACTTCAGTATAAAGTAAAGGCGGTTTAATTCATAGCAACTACAGAAAGGCAAAAGTGGAAGCAAAAACCAAACCCACACACTCAGCTGCTTTCCACATAAGATATTTGAAGATATATTCAGTTTTCCCAAGATAAGCTATTTTTTGTAGCTTTTCTCCACCCCCTTTTGAGAAACTTAATTGCAGTATAATAAGCAGGGTTCTCAAGCACAGTAGTTTGCAGTAAGTTTTCCAGTAACTTACAGGACTTCTTGTACTCAGGTGCTTCCTGGCACTGGCCAAGGCTGCTCTCTGAGCCGTACTACACGTCACCACGGAGAATCTGCTGCTTCTCATTCATTCTTGGGTGTACACTAGTTGAGATTGTATTTCCAAGGAGAAAAAAAAACAATTGCATCCTCTGTATTTATCTTGTCTCGTTAAAGATTGCCTTTAATTACCAAGCATCAGAGGCAACTAGGAAGATGTGAATCATCTTCCCCTCTCCGCCCCAAATCCACGGTAGGAATTTCATGCACGTACCATGGCGTGCGGGAGCTTGAAAACCATTGAAACGTGTCACGGCCCTTACAGCTCTCCAGACGCTGAGATAAGCTGTTGGGGTATTCACTCCCTGACCGGTAAGATCTATGTTCAGCAAAAGTCAAGCTGCATCTCCTGCCTTCGCAGACCTTGGCATGCCTGCAGATCGCTGGCTCAGTGACAGAAACACAGCTCTCGGCTACATCCACCCACACTGAACAGTTCACAGTTCACCCCAACCATCACCCTTCTTTTACTGTAACTCTTTCTCAAGCCTACGAAAGTGAGGTCAAAGATACAGTCTTCAATGGAAGCAAAAAACAAAATAAAAAAAGAAAAAAAAAAGGAAAGTTTAGACTGTAGCCTGTTACACCACAAAACAAACTAATTTCATAAAAACAAGCTCATCAGCATGTGACCAGCTCAGCAGCTCAGGCTGCAGACAGACACTAACAAGGAACGTGCAGAAAACCGCCCTTCCTGCACCGAGGAGGAGGACTGGATTCACGGGAACAAGGCTCGAAACCGTCCCAGCTGCAGCATCACAGGGTCCAGCAGTGCGTGGGAACTGCCAGCCATGGCTGCGGGGCTCGATTTCTGCTCTGACCACCCTTTTTGGATCCCCCACTGCTTTCAGCATCACAAGCGATACCAAAAAGCATGATTCTGTACAATAAGAAAAACACTGAAATTCCTCTGGCACTACCCAAATTTGTTCACAGCCGTCTATCGGTGAAACTCAGAGACAGGACACCCAGTATGACCATTTACTTGTACTCACCTGCTTCAACTTACTCAATCCCCAAGTGAGAGTGGAAACAAAGCCAGGAAAAAGCCCAGCACCACACAAGTACGGCACTGCTAACGCTCTCTGCGGATCTACCCCGTGCCTGCACCGCCCTAGCAACTTTTCCCATTTCACTATAAACGTAAACCTTTGCCCCAAACCGTATTACACCTAGAGCATCAGCCAGCAGCAGTGAGTTTTAATCTTCTATTAGCTGTGGGCATGTCTGAGTCAAAAGATGCGCATTGCTAAAGCATTAAATACACAAACTCATTAAATTAACCATTGTTATAATCGATTACAACTACTAGATGAGGTCAGCTGTGCCGGTCACTCGACACTGAGGCAGCAGACTGCCCACGAGAAGAAGCGCCAACAGCTTCAGGCAGCCATCTAGCCCGTCCTCGGGTCGCAGGGCAGAGCGCTGCCACACAAGGCATCTCCGACAAGCAACCCTGACGTCCCACGGATTTCCCTCGCTGTGTTTTAAGCCGTACCTCTAATCCCCAAAGGAGCTGGACAGTTTGGTCCCCTTCCACCGGGCTGCAAAGTTTTGGATTTTCAAAGCGTGCTGTCACACTCGCCTCCCTTTTCCTTCAATTAAGTAACAGCCAATATTCAACACTGCCTTGTGGACCCGGTTGCTTAGACCTCTGACTGTCCATATTAGGCTCTACTCTCCAGTTAGACTGTGCCTATCCTGAAAAAGGATCCGGAACAGGACACAACAGCCCAGTGAGGCCTCACAAGTCCCAAGGTTCACATGCTTTGTGTGTTTATGGGTCTCCACAGGTTAATCTTTCTTCCGTAACAGATAGCACGGCTGATTCACTTGTCGTTTCACCTACTCTAACACTCCTTTCCTTTCCTGCCAACATGCTCCTGCACCCCGTTTTTCACCCTCTCATACCTGTGCAGACAGTTATTTCCACCTCAGCAGATCATTTTGCACCCGTCCTTCCAAAGCCACATCTTTCAGACAGGTATTTCTCTCGCATGTCCACATTATCGGGAACGCTAAACCTTTGTTTAAGGAGCCTGAATCCCATCTGACTGGAAAGGCATCAACTGCAAACGTCAATATGCATTCTCTGTATCCCACTTTCAGAATCATACAGGACTTTGCCATACCCGTTTGAGGAGAAACTACTGTGAATTGGCTTACAGATATCCTGCCAGAGCAACGTGTAACCACCGATTACTTCTTCGGTGTACTTCTTCAATCGACTGCACACTAGGAAAAGCATTTTTAGGTGCAGTTGACCGTTCCACTATGATGACAGCTGTAGCAAGATTACTCTTCGGATAACTGGAAGCAAAAATCTCTTTCACTTTCACTACATAAATATTATCTGAGTCTACTTAAAAGTATGTAGAGATTTATAAAAAACACCAAGCTAACAAATCTTCTGCTAAAGCACCCGGGAACATCTGGCCAGCTGTTCTGCTACAGAGTGGTATTCCTCGTGACTTTTTTTTCCATCTCCTCCCTCCCTTCCTCTAAATCTTCAGACCAAGTGGGTCTCCTTGCACCGCAGTGCCTTTTTAGAAGGAAGGAAAAGATGACCAACTATCATGGCAAGAGAAGCAAATTCATCTACTTGATTTATTGCTCACCTGGTATATTTGTTTAACATTACAGTCGGCAAGAACAGTTAATGTAATTTCTCTCAGTATTTTACTGGGGGTGTTGGACATTAATGAGGATATTGAGCTCTTCTACAGCAATATTTCCTAGAAAAGTCTTACCTCCCTCTTGCTGAAATCCTGACCTATGCTGTAAGTGTTTCCTGTCTAGACTCTTACTATTCCTTCTGCCCTTTCTAAAGCCACGGTAATTTGTCAGCAAGACAACAGATACTCTTGTTCTGCAAAAAGGACTATCGCTTTTCTCAGGTACTGTTCACAGCATCCTCTCCACCTTGGAACGTTCTTACAAGGAGAAACAGAGCAAAACCACACTATCCTCTGGTACAAGATCATTAATCTCCCTGGGACATGCTCCCTCCGGGGTCAATGGCCCGCGAGTCCCTGCCCTTCCACCCATGCCAGCCTTGCCCACACTCCGTGGGGGCTCCGTGGGGAGCTCCTCGCGCAGAGCCCACTCGCTTCCTCTGCGTCTCGTCAGCTGTGCAGATGTCAGCGCGCTTCGCACAGTGGAGGTTCGTGGGAACGCCACTCTTCAGAGATGTCTCTATCTTTAAATTTGGCCACCAAAGGAAACCACGCAACACACATTCAATCTCAGAACTCGGTAGAGTTCAGCAAATAAACTTTTCCTTTTTTTTTTAATTTTAGCTTGAGAAATGAGAATGATCAAGACATGTAAAAACTACAAAGTCATGTTTCATACTTCCTTTTTCCAAAAACAAAGCACTATAAGAGGCAATATTAGCTACACTGATTTCTTTCCTCTTTTTATTCTTCACATAGAGGAAATAACCACAAAACCCCTCTTTACTCTGCTGACTGATTGTCCCAGATTTGTTGAAATATGGGTGAGGCAGTGCTGTGTTTTTCACAAGCTGAACAAAGGAATTATCTTAACCAAACATTGCATCTCCCCAGAAAATTTAAACCAAAGTGTTTAGACACTTTAAGAATTCCTTTAAAAACCAGTAAAGCGTGGCTAGAACATCCTGGCATGTGTATGACACCAAGTATCAGGGAAGAGGCCAAGCAGCAACAACCACAGTCCCTGCCTATGGCAATGCCAGACGGTTTCTTTATGAATTTATACAGGCAAACGCTGAGGCCTCCTACAGACACAAACAGGAGGGGAAAATCTACACTATACAAATCCCTTCAGGCTACACATCCCTCTATGATTGTGTTCATTCAGGAATTTTCAGTTAGTAGTTTCCAGTAACACCCCATTTCTGCCTCTCTGTTTATTGGGGAGTGTTCGAAGCATGCACATTCCAACCCAAAAGTTGGAAGAGTCTGGATAAACTGAAACAAGTGACTCATTTCTCCCCTCTCCTTCACACTCAGACCCTAGACAAAGGAGGTCCATTATCTTTCATCGCAGATTCGGCATTATTAGACAGGACAGAGGCTTCAGAAGGCAGAGACTATCCACCACTGGCAACACAGGTAACTCGGGGACCTGCGTTTCCTCCCACCCACAGGTAGGAACCAAAATATTACTCCTCAAAACACCGACCAGTCCATTGAAAGCACAGGCATCCGATATCCCGGAGATGCATGGTTTAAGACTTTGCTCCGCGGGGCTCCGGCAAGGCAGTTTCCAACACACCGTGCTACCTCCACCACAAGCCAGCAGCCACCTTTCAAAGCCTGGCCTCCGTCTAGCGCACAGCTCGCAGCCGCCAGTGACAACATGCCAAGGGAGAGGCAAGAGATTCACAGCACAGAATCCCTCAGGGAGAGATACCCACCACAAGAGCACTGGTTCTCAGCATGAAGCATCAATATTAGTTTTAGAGAAGACTCCTCAATTAGAAACCCATGACTATAAAACCATGCATTAATGATAAAGCACCGAAGTTTAACACAGCGCATCTATCCCTTCAGGAGGAGGAAAACGACGACAGAGGAGACATTTCTGTCTCTCACATACATATAACATCAGAATCAGCATCATAATAGCCCATAAACAGAACGGTTTCAATTCATAAACATCCCATAAAGCGTCAACTCATTAAAAGCCCATAAAGAGCGCACGGTGTCCGTTCACTGCCGTTAGCGACGGCACTGCGCCCGAGTTCTCACCCCAGGACACAGCCTCCGTCCTCCTCGGGGGAGAGCAGCGGGCAGGGGTCCTGCCCCATGCCCGGCCATGCCAGCACTGTCCTGGCTCCACGATGGACAAGGCCACCCGGACAGAGAGGGGGAAGACACAGGTCCCCGCACGCGTCCCTTGAAAGGCAGTGGAAACGATGTGGGCGTTCTGCCACCTCCACACAGAAACCCAACATCCTCTGGGCAGGGGAAATGACACGGTTGTACCCAGGACCTGCTCACACACATTTTTGGGAACCCGGTGAACAGGCTGACCCCCACCCCCGCACATTTTTCAGGCTTTCCCATACACAGCTCACCACCTGCCTAGTCAGAGCCGGGCCGAGCCTGCGGTGAGCAGCCGG